AGCGGACATACATTGTGAAGGATGAGCATTTGACAGTCCTTAGAAATCATTGGTGGATGAAAATATTTAAGTGGAACCCTTTCTTCAATCCCCATTGATGCCTTCTGAACACTTCACAATTTATTTTTTTTATTTTTGATTCAGCAAAAAATTTTTTTTTGGGGGGGGAACAATAGTCTATTAGATAAGCAATAATTTGATGTGATAAAAAAGAAAAAGAGGAGAGTATTGGTGTCTTGGTTATTGTTAATGTCCTCACATCCTTCATCCTGTCAATTTGTGTGGATAGTGAGCTTGTTCAGGTTTGCCGTCAGTACAGCTACTATTCAGGCCAATTGCCCTCAAGTTTTACCTGATGGCACAGCTGTAGGAATTGGGCATTTGGCAAGTTTAAAAAACACTTTTTCTTGATCATTTTTCTTCCCCTTAAAAAAAGCTAGTTGATAATCTTCTGGAGTAGGAGCTATTCCAGATGTTAATATAAACAGCTTAGGAGGGATTTCCTTTTTCCTACAGTCCTCAAGATTGGTTTAAATTCTTTTTCTAATATGACCCACTCCAATTATGTATTTATTTTCAGTTAATTCAGCAGAAGGGCTGCATTGTCTAATTCCAACTAGAAATGATACAAACCAATGTATAGCAAATTTAGCTTAATATAGTACTTTGCATTTAGATGGGAGGGGGATGGTCTAAGGAAAAGTATTAGATGTGGATATACATAAGGTCTTTGTAGCATGATTTTATCTTATAGCACCAGCTCTTCAAGTAGATTCCAATGGCAAATCTAATTTTTAAAAAATTATCTCCATGACTCTCTTTTCTATTGTCAGTTATTTAGAAACTTAAATACTAATTTACTTTGACAAAGTGGCATCTTTGGGTGGTTCTCATACTTTTTTTTTAGTTTCATAGGAATATAATCTCAAACTGTTTTCAGGTATATATTGCAGTTCTAGTATAGATCTGTTGAGACTGGATATGCATTTTTATTTTTTTCTTTTTTTTTTTTTATTTCAGCATATTATGGGGGTACAGATATTTTAGGTAACGTATGTTGCCCTTGGCCCCCACCCCCCAAGTCAGAGCTTCAAGTATGTCCATCTCTCGGATGGTGCGCATTGCACTAGTTATGTATGCATATACCCATTCCATTTTTAATTGAGATATACCAGAACTAAATTTATTCCTAAAGGAAATCCAGAAGCAAATTTTTAAAAAATCTAATATGGTAATGTGGTAAATG